TTCTCTTTCTGGCTTATCTCACTGAGCATGATCTTTTCCAGCTCCATCCAAGTTGCTGCAAAAGACATGTGTTTCTTTTTTTTTTGGTTGCTGAGTAATATTCCATTGTATATATGTACCACAATTTTTTAATCCAGTCATCTACTTTTGAGTATTTAGGCTGCTCCCATGTTTTTCCAATTGTAAATAAAGCAGCAATAAACATGGGGGTGCAGGCATCTTTTTCAATCAGTGTTTTTGTGTCTTTTGGGTAGATACCTAGGAGTGAGCTTGCTCCATGGGAAGCTCCATGTTAAGCAGTTTGAGGAATCTCCAAACAGTTTTCCATAGTGGTTGTACTAGTTTGCATTCCCACCAGCTACATTTTCTTCTTTTGAGAAACATTATAATTTGAAATTTAAGAATCCCACAACTAGGCCATGTTCTTCTAGAACTTCTTTCCTTGAACCATTTGTATGCTGAGTCATTTCACATACTTTATGGTTTCTTACTTACTTACTTTATGTTTCTCTTCTATGGCTTCTACCCTTATATTTTCCTCCTTCCCCCCCCCCCTTTTTTAAATGGTCACTAAGCAATGATACTAAAAGGATCCTCTTTGAATATGTACACTTCATCATTTGTTTCTAATTAAAAATCTAAGTTCTTGTAATGCCTTTTTTAATATTTTATTTACTCTTGCTTCCTGCCTTATTTAAATATGTGGAAAAGCCTTTTGAATATAAATGTTTATTAGACTTAATTTTAACTAGTCCCTATTCACATAAGCGAATGAAGGAAAATTGAAGTTTTATCTCTTGGTAAGAAGCATGGTTTTGTTTAGAAGTGAGATTACTGTTAACTCATTAAGGAAAACAGTACTTTGCTTTAATTACAGTTTCTTGTTTGCACAGAAAGTCAAGGACCAGATCTATTTGTATCTATCCAGTCAGGTTCTCAGTAGTAATTTGTGCCATCCCATTTTCTGTCAAACTCAATCTAATTTTGATAGGCGTGAACATATTCTTTTGGCCATATTTACTCATAAGCACCTTCTATATTCAGCAAAGCTACAAGCTTGGAGATACAGAGAAATAGTAAAATGATTCCATTTGAAACATCCAAGTGTTAATTTTTAATATTTTTTGTTTAAAATCATGCACTTAGTTTGCAAGACAGCATTTTAGGTGCTGACATTACTAAAAATCAAGTTTTCTAGTCTCATGACACTCTTCAAAACTTTATTTTTTGGTCTACACAATCCCTCCCCTTAGACACACACACACACACACACACACACACACACACACACACACACACACACCTTCCCTTCTAGTAACTTCCACCCCTGAGGGCCTACACAATACCACAG